CGGAAGAAGCATCGAAGTTCTGCTTCAGAACGCACTGTATCGGTTTTTTTTTTGACACATGCCTCACAGCTTCGGTGTCAAGCTTAACATCACTACTGCGAGCCAACACTGTCAACTGCATGTAAAACATGTTAGTCATGAGTATTAATGTTGTTGGTACAAAGTCAGAAAAAAAAGTACCAATTTGTACCTTTGAGAGTATAATTGTCACTGTAGCTTTACTCTTATGGGTTTGCCAATTGTACCCTAGCTGTAGCTCAATGTACCTTTTAAGGTACAGAAATGGACCCTGAGAAACACTTTCGTACCATTGGGGGTACATTAATGTTGCTTGTACCTTGAGGTACAACACTGTACCAGGGCTGTACCCTTGCTTCTGGCAGTGTAGTTTATCCTATCTTGTCATCCCAGTCACCATGCAGCGAAGTCTGGCTCCCAGGTGGGTATAAAATATTTGACTGCAAGTCTATCTGACAAATCAATGTAGCCTAAGCGATAACTATGTATGAAGCTCTCAAAGACTCCCAGCGAAGCGCAGCATCCGGGCGGTCTCAGAAAACATGTAATCAGAGCATATTCACCAATAAGCTGTCGTATATTCTCTGCTTAGATAAAGCATACAAGACTCTTCCATAGGCTTCCACTGATGCACCGTGTCAGTGGGTGTCTATGGGCGGCATCGGTCCTGGTTTCAAAGGGAAAACTCTTTCAGCACTTTCGTGGGGGAGCCGGGCTTCCTGTTTAGTCGTTTGTTGCCGTTTCACATTTTCACCAAAACAAGCCAAACAGTGGAACTCTTTGGGCAAAGGTGTCAGTCAGTGCAGAACAAAGCCCAGATGAGCAGGGTACCTAGAAGAGGGTGGATGAGGGGGCAGGTACAGCGTGCAAACGAGCTCTCGTAGCCTCTCTGCTCTCCATGGGTCTGAAGGCAGATCTCCTCCACAACTGGGAACCCAAAAGCAGGAGAAGGAAATCAGGGCCACATCATGAAGCATTATGCAAAACTGTTCCCTCTAGCTGATCAAACTTGATGCCTGTCACCTCAGGGGTGACTCCCAGGAACAACGCTGTTTGACTTTACAAAAAGTGGCATATTTCACACTTCTGGCTGTAAGAGCATTAAATTTGGGGTTATTATAATGAATAAGAACCTGAACCATAGGAAAGTTAGAAATACAAAATGCATGCCAGATCAGAAACTGATCATAACCGTATCATTCAAAACATTCAGTATAATTCATTTAATAGTCTGTAACACGTATAGTGAGTACTGGGGAAATTTCAGACATTTATTTCATTAAGGCCGGATCTCGTTTCTCTGCATGTGGACATGCGAGTTGGCTGTGTTTGAAATGTCCACCATGTAGTCCACCAGCCATTTTGTAGTGCTGTTTGAATTCTCAACTGTAAATTTCATTCACTTTATAGTGCACTACAAAATTGTCGCAAGGCACAAGTAATATTTGTTTATTATTATGACGTGATGCGGTGCTTCCTTTCACTTGGCTTGCAGCTGGACTAGTGTGTTACTTACATAGTAACTAGTACATAAGTTCAATGCTGTTAATTTTTATCCAAATAATTGCTGATAATCTTTTCATCTTACACTGTTATATTTAATACTGGTAAATTGAACGTGATTGCACTACTGCACTAGTTCAACATTGAGCTATATATAGTATATATTATTACTTTGTTTTATTTTATATAATATGTAGCATATAAAGCATGTATATGACAATAAAGCTATTCTATGCTATTCTGTTAAGATTATACATTGTGTGAGTGTCAAGATAGAAACTTGCCTCTCCAGGTAGAGGTCATGTCCAGACGTGGTCTCTGGGTGTGACTCACGGAGGTCTGGTGTGGTGTGCAGGTCTGAGCTGATGTAAAGCAGAAGCTGGGTTATTACCTGACATTGTTCACCTGCCCTGGTCTAACTCCCCTTCTGGCAAAAGGTAAATGTGTAATAACCATCAAATAAACTCATTTCAACGATACCTTGTTGCACCACCAGCTGCACTTGTGTGGAAATGTCAATAGCCGCATAAATGTCTACCCCGCACCAGTATGCCCCAGCATCCTCCTCTGACAGGCTGGAGATGGTCACCGTGAAGACATTCCGATTCCTGTCATCGTACAGCTTAAATCTCTGGTCTTCAATGAAGATCTCGTCCAAATTGTTTTTAATTACATCACTGCAATATTTAAACACTTCCCCTTTGCACAGGTACTTCTGGTTGGTTCCGTAGTAGCCGTCGTAGGGACACTGTATTACGGCCATTCCTCCGCTGAGCCCGATGACTTTGATGAGCTCTCCCGTAACGGGAGACAAAGATATTGATATAAGGGCGAGACTAACAGCGAGCAACATGCTGCGGAACAGCACCGAGGGAGCGAGGGTCGCCCGTCCAAATAAGCGACATGCTACCGTAGGCGGAAATGAGCTGCATCTCACGAAAAGCTGTAAGTTGGACTTTCACCGAATGAGGACGCGCATCGCAGGAAAGGTTATTGCTGCCTCTAGTCTGCTATTGGCCCCGAGCTTCATGTAGAAGCCTCATAGATTATCACCCCACACTTGCGGTACAGGCAGCTGACTTCCTCAAACTGCACTTCCTCCTCCGATGCAGTCGCATGTATCAGTGATGGTGAGTTATAGGGAGATTGCTGCTGAGGTCCCTATGGCCGAAGCCACCTCTCTCCCATAATGCCTTTCACCCTCACCAGGTCCTCCCTTGGAAGGCCCCACCCCCCGCTTCCCATAACCCACTGACTCTGGCATCCCATTCTGCTCCTCCTGACTTCCTTCCTCACATTGTTCTGGTTTCTTTCAATCCTGAACCACCACCTGAATCTGTACATCAAACTGACATTTATGGTAACACTTTACTCGATGGGGCACAAATAATATAGCATGATACTGTTACTTAAGTATTAAATAACCAAACTAAGTCTTAGTTACATATTAATCTCATGTTAATTCATCGTTAATGAATCGTGATGCATTTTTTATCAAGCAGTTACTAAATTTGTTACTATATCTACTATATTTGTTAATTCTGTAAACCTTTGTGAACTACTGAAAGAACACGTGACAACACAAGTGAAATACTGATCTCAGGTTTGAATCGTGATGTATCTTTTTTCTCAAGTTGTTACTATATTTGTTCATGATTTGTTATTAGTGTCCCGTCAAGTGAAGTGTTACCACATTTATTCTTAGCTGTCACTTTTATTCAAGGCAACATACTTTTCTTTTTGAGAAACTAGGGACAGACAATCCATGGTGCACTGGGATTAAGAGCCTTACTCAGGGGACCAATGGTAAACTCACTCTGCTGATCCTGGGATTTGAGTCAGCAACTTTCCAATCACAGGTGCAGCACCCTAACCCACTGAGCCACACATCGCCCCCTGCTGGTATTAATTAATACTGCCACACACTGCCTCTCATTAAAAACCACCCCAGATAATTCTGATAGTTCATGGGTCATTATTGAAGTGCATGAAGAATTTCCTCATGTTTAGGTGTCCAGTTGCAAGGAGCATTTCATAACTGGTGGGATTGGGAGTGTGTGCTTTAAAAATGACTTAATGACCAATGCAAAATGTAGGTCCTGAGGCTTAAACCAGCTGAAAACCGAAAGTAACAGTGGAATTATTCAGTTACAAGAAACTATGTCAATTATTCAAGTAGCAGAGGAATTGGTTAATTTGGTTTTGGTGCTCTTACAAAAAAAAATCAAATTAAATTAAGGCTGTTTCATTACTGGGCGTCATTTCTTCAGATCAAAGGGCTCCCCTCCCATTCTTTATTTAAGCCTCAGTAGTCATTGAAATTCCTCTATTGCTAAAGTCCAATGCGATAATAAAATAAACGCAATATCTGCATATATTTACATAAAGCCCCAATTGTAGCAATGTGTAGTTTCACCATTTTATTAGCAAAATACTCCTTTTGTTAGTGTAAAAAGGGGCAAATGTACTAATGTTTCTGTCTGTGTAACCCTCCACAGACTGCCTGCGACATAAACCTACTCGTGCGTCGGCCTGATATCTGCTCTCAGTCGACTCCCTCATCTGTCCGCTTTGCATCTGTCCGCTTTGTTTCTCCTCTTTCTATGAACAACAGCAACAAAACAAACAACTACTGGTCCACAGAGGTCAAGCTGTCAGGCTTGAGGGCTCCCAGGCTAAGAGCAGCCGGTATACAAAGGAAATCACACGTTTCATGCCTTTGCACTTCGGCTCAGCTGCACGGCTGGGGTTTGTTTACGCTGACCGGGTTCCTGGTTCATTAGCCATGAGTTTGGCTTGTAAAGATGCTTGTTCATTAAGAGTCTTGCCAGAGGCTGTGAGGGAGTGCAGAGAAAAAGACAGTCATTATTACAGCTACATCCGGTGCTGATCAAAGGCTGAACTCCGAATTAATTGTGTAAATATGTGCAAAAAATTCTCAGAAACCCTATAAGACCAGCTTAAAATCTTGGTATTTACCCCCTAACAAATACCCATGAGTATAACTGGGCTATTTCAAAAAAGCTGTTTTTCAATAATATTAGTGACTGCAAACCTAAGTATGTTTTGTAAGAAATTCTTTTAAACAAGCCTCAAAACGTTTAATCTTGTGGTAAAGTAATCCTCACAAAACCAGACGTTGGCACACAGAAAACAGGAGACACCTCAGTGCAAAGACTGGCAACACATGCTGGATGATGTATAATGCACTACTATAAAACTCTCATTCATTCAGCATATATTATAACAGTCACTTGACATATGCTAACACTGCGAATACCTTTAATTCAGCAATAATCTGTATTTTGCCCCGACAGACCATTTAAAGAGACAATCAGATTTAACGTTAATCAAAATGCCACTTTCAGACTGAGACGATCAGCTTAGACTGCAGAACAATCGGCTTGGACATTTTTGCTCCTTAAGAGCCTAAAGACATAGACATAAAAAAAAATAATAAAAATAATAAAAAAAATTAAAAAAAAAAAGAGCCTAAAGACATAAAAACAGATGTAAATGCGTGATTTATGATGACTGTGCGTGTTTTCATAGCATATCCTCTATTAGAAAAAAATTAAACATCCATCCATCCATTTTCTGAAACCGCTTATTCTATTCAGGGTCGGCGGGAGTGAAACAGACAATACAAAATAAACGTCCTCTATGGGGGGGGTGGCGTGCTACAGTTGTAGGAATCTGTCCTGAGAGGAAACTGTTGTGATCCTTTCTGGGGTTATGTCCTGTTATGCCACCCCCCCACCCCCCTCTTCCCAGCATGTGTTGGTTTTACACTGTTCTGCAATTCTGGACCAGGCCCAACTTTGAGGCCATCAACCCTAGGGAGAAGAATGGAAGATATAGTGGGCAGGATTACAATGCACTGTCAATCAACCAGTCAATCAATCAAAATAGTGCCTATTCCTTATCTGATTGTTTCCCACTAGGCAAAACCAAGAAGTGACTGACAGCGTAGGGTAATCCCACCCACTGCTGCATTGAGGATCAAATCTCCCATTACTGTTCTCAAACCATTCTTGTAGAAACCCTTACAGGTCACCAGGTGGCACTGTTCCACACAGCCACTTTCACAGGAGAGACACTCAACGGCTTGGAGTTGTTGCCATTGATGTTTGCACCAGGACAGAAGAATGGGAACATCCTCTCTGTGAAGTGGTCCTTAAAGGTGTATATAGCCGTCATGGTCAGTGGGTTGGAGAAGGCCACCATGCCAGAGTCGTAGTCCAGCTGCACACTGACCCTCTCCAAGGGGCCGTTCAGTTTGAGGGGGGTGCGGGGCGTGGTCATGGCAGTAAACTCGCCCTCGCAGTGCGAGATGGTCCAGAAACCATCCTCAGGCCTGCCCGACATCTTCCCCTTCCTGTTGACAGATTCTTTGACCACGCCCAGGACCCAATCCTCCTTGTTTCCCACCTCCACCTCCCAGAAATGCCGGCCCGACAGGAAGCCCTCCGCGCCTAGGACGAAGACCAGGTGGTCGAAACGCTCAGGGTTGTCGGGCACCTCCTGGACGGCCCCGCTGTTTGTCACGCTCGTCAGGTCGCTGGACAGGGAAAGCCAGGCGTAGGCGGTGTTGGGGTCCAGCATCACTGGGGCTGAAGGATGCAGAATAGTTTGTGGTGTATGAGAAAAGCATATGGAAATGGGCCAGCGAAAGACAAACAAAAAGCACTCACTAACTGCTGACAGAAAGACAAACAAAAAGCACTCAATAACTACTGACAGAAAGAAAAACAAAAAGCACTCACTAACTGCTGACAGAAAGACAAACAAAAAGCACTCACTAACTTCTGACAGAAAGACAAATAAAAAGCACTCACTAACTGCTGACAGAAAGACAAACAAAAATCACTCACTAACTTCTGACAGAAAGACAAACAAAAAGCACTCACTAACTGCTCACAGAAAGACAAACAAAAAGCACTCACTAACTGCTCACAGAAAGACAAACAAAAAGCACTCACTAACTGCTCACCAAAAGACAAACAAAA